GTGTGTGTGTGTGTGTGTGTGTGTGTGTGTGTGTGTGTGTGTGTGTGTGCGCGCGCGCGCGTGTGTTTTTTTATTTCCTGTCATGTTTTCTGGCATTCTCATTTCTGTCTGGCCTCTCTTCCCTCCATCTCTCTCCGGTTCCCCTCCCTCTCGTCACGCTTTATCTCTCGCATCCACTCTCTGCCTTGGGTTCCTCCGCCTCCCCCATGTGGTGCAGGGGTGGGTCAGAGAGTGTGTATGGGTGGGGGGGTAGTGAGGGCCGGTGTCTGGGCATCGAGCGGAGGTGGGGGCGTGGCCGCCTGTCTCCCTCGGAGCCCTTAACGAGAGCGTGATTCATGACACAAGGGGCTCCCATAGGGACGGGATTAGAGGTGCTCTGTCTAACCGCTCCCCAGAGAGACTAAAAGATATTTAATCTGCCCTCCACGCAGGCAGCCACCTCCGGGCTCAGTGTGTGTCTTCATGGGTGTGTTTCTGTCTGTGCCCCCCCCCCCCCCCCCACACACACACGTACACACACACACACTTCAAACCCAAGAGACTTATACAATCCTACAGCAAGACACATCAATTATCTTCCCGTATTTGTCATCTTCCATGCACTATAAATTCAGCTCAACAGTCCTTTTAACATTTAGTGCAGTTTGCATTGTGTCATCAAGTCGCAACAGTGTTTTGGTTGCTTTGTTCCTTTTCAAATATCATAATACGAACATGTATACATATTAAAGCTGCTGTAATCAATATTCTTCTGCTAACAATGGCTCAAATAGCTCAAAGGAATTGTTCATAGTGGCAAACCCACAGAGGATTCTCGGCCGACTATGCGGCTTCTCTCGACTCCATGTAGCTTTTCACCATCTTTTAACTCGTTGTTTTTGGTGTTGTCACTTGTTAACTTTACCGTTTTGGTTCAGCCTCACCGCTCTCAAGTAGTAATTCATTCGCATAATTATTTGTGACACACTATTAGAACCCACGTGGTGATTAGCAGCCTTTACGTTGCACACACGAGTACCTGCTTTGAATTGCATTTTTTAGCACAAAGGAGAAAGAGAGCCGTACTTCAGGTGTAAATGTGTTAGCCGACGTTAATTCCCTTCTATTTAAACCACGTAGCTGAATGTGTCCAAGCTGTTCCCGGCTCTTAAACATTGCTCATTAAAACGGGGCAGTGGGAGCAGGTGGAACTGGAACCAGGCTCTTCACAACAGATGGCAGCAGGGTGTCGGGAAAGATGTTGGAAACTTGAATGCTACGTGTTGCTCCCTTTCTTTTAAAGTCCTTTGCTGCTTGGAGAGATTGGACTACACACTGCGTTGTGTTCTGTAAACGCGGTGACGAACTTGGCATTCGGTTTCTGAGTCGTTGTCGAGGACTACGAGGAAAACGTTTTTCCTCCAGAGCTCATGGTGGATGCTTATTCCTTAAAGTATACAGTTAAGCTAAATGACATGTTTTTGACGTTTGTACTTCAATCTACGGATGCTACTTCTTTGCAGGGGCTACGTCTACGACAGCAGGAGCAACCTCCAGACAAGGGGACTGATCGTGCTGCTATTGTCGAAGGCGGCGGGGCCGAACCACGCGGCCTCCGACCTCCTGCTTCAGGACATGGTCAGCGGCATCTACCCTAGGTACAATAACCTGAAGCTACCGACGGTAACACTGTTTGTTTTACATTGGTTTGAGGCACAAGACGGCGAGTTAAGGACCACGGGTTCCATGTGTGCGCTGCAGCTTTGCCAATCGCAAATTAGATCCATCGACTTTCCAGTAAGCTGTTCTTCTGGCTTTGCTTTTTGGTTTGTTGATGTTTCTCACACTTCCTGACATCTGCCACCCTCCCTGAACACTCCTACATGTTTGACTTCACAGCTCTAAGCTGGTGCAAGTATCAACATCAGCAGGATGCACTGATCAATCTTCCTCCCATGCAGGAAATTCTCTAAAGCCTGGCCAATTGTAGAAAAAATGTAATCGTTTGCTGTTGCATAAAAAAACTAAACATTGTATCAGAATATTTAGCCCTTGAAAATGTTTCTCAAATGCTAAATGGTGTCCACCAACGTTACTCACGGCTTAGGCATTATGGCCGTGCCGTACCACAGCTAGTTTTCATGCTGGTAATTCAAGTCCGCAGCTGTTGTTTTCTATCCGTAACCACACGCTAGCAGAAAAATTCCAATTCTCATTGTACTGTATGTGCTGCTTTGGAGAAAACAGTGGGCAGTAAACATGTGTTACATTGCGTTGTAGAGCCATAAATGTGCATGGCAAGCAGAGCGAGAAAGGCGATGCCGCTTTCGTCCCTGTTACATGGCTGCAGGAGGATAAATAGTGAAATAAAATCCCGGTGTCTACCTTGTCCTCTGTGGTTATCGTCCATATCAATTCCTGTAAATGAAGCACTGCATCATCTTGCGAATATGATGGAATGTGAGGGCGATATAACCACAGCTACAAGATGGGATGTTTTTTTAAATGATTTGTTGTTTTTAGATTGTAGCTAATTGGAAAAGAAAACATTTCAAAAAGTTCTTTCAGTTTCTGCTTTGTATTCCTATTTTCTAATAGTTACATACACATTAATATATCGGCCTTAAAGTGTTATCCTTATTGGATCCGTATTAGGGGGCAACCTCCGCGTCCGAAAAGTGTCTTAAACCTGTATTCTTTCTAACTGCCCCCATTTTGGTTCAGATGGAAAAATCTCATCAACTATTAGACGGATTGCCGTAAAATCTGACACTCATGGTCCCCAGATGATCAATCCTACGGACATTTCATCTAGCGCCAACAACAGGTCACAATTTTCACTTATCCAATGAAATTGCTTTACATCTACTAGAAAAAATGTAATAAACAAAACAAAAATGTAGACATTCATGTTCCTCAGAGGATGAATCCTAATCACGACGGAAGGGATGACTTTTCTCTACGACCACCACAGGTTGACAATTTTTGTTTTGTTTTGTAACATTCTGAACTTTGGTGGTCCCCTGACTTTGCTTCTAACACCCCCATCATGTCCAAATTCCACTTTGTAACATTCTTTGATTTTTATCTTATTTTTTACAAAATGTCATGGGAATGTCATTAGTTTTTTTACAAACCTAATGACATTCCCATCAGCCTCGACCGCGCGATGTAACATGCAAACTGTTGGAATTGCAACATTTATTTGCTAAATTGTAATATAGTCAAATAATAACGTTATTAAATAACGTTAGACATTAAAAATAACGTTAAACATTATTTGCTAAATTGCAAATAATTTCTGTTGGCAGCAAAACATTTGCCATTATTTGCAATGAATTGGCTGTGATTGTTTTATTTATTTTTTATTCTGACACCACTTTCTGGCTAATAATTATATTTACTTCACCACGACTTCGAAAAAACTATTGATGATCAACTTCTTGGTTCTGAACAGAGAGCGCTGTAGACTCTTTAGTGTTGTCTTCACATAAATGAAAGGACATTGCTTAGTGATCTGTCTGGAACCACAACATAGTATATTGTTTTATTTATACATAATCAAAGGTGAAGTGTTAACAGTGGTGTTAATGTGCTGCTGTTAAAATGCTTCAGGTAGCACCCCAAGGGCCTACCTTGCTTTTTCACAAACATTGGCTACAACCACGCAGCTCAGAACGGGGATGTGTGCCAAGCGGTTTCCAGAAGTGACTGCTGTGTTTGGCGTGGCTGTGCACTGGGTGCCTGAAAGGCCTCTTTCTTACTGCTAGCTGGCACAAGGCACAAGTGTGCTGCGGAGCCGTGTCCGTGCAGAAACATCCTAATATTAGAACTAATTGGAATAACCCCGGGCACCGCAGAAGCGCTTGAAGCGCTTGAAGTCCGGCCTCTTTCATGGCCGTGAGGCCGAGACTGCGTCGCCAGGTCGTGTCTCTCTACAGGAGGAGTTCTTACAAACTCGCCTCATGTCAAAACCGGGCACTCGCATCGCTGTGACTCTGGATCACTGAATCCAACATATGCAGCATTCCCTCACTCATGTGTGATGGATAGACCAAACACACACACACACACACACAGCATGTCTTGATCACCTCATTTGCACTATCTTGCTCTCTCTTTCTCTCCCCCACCTCTCCCTGGGCTCATTAGCACCTCTGATGGAAGAGATGGAAGAATGGAGGGAGTTGGGCTGGGGCGGGTTTGGGGGGGTGATTAAAACCTCCGGGGGATGGTCTCCTCCCTCCTGACAGGCAGCATTTGTAAAACATTTCCCACTCTACTGCCTGACACTGATGATTCATAAAAGCACCACCATGATAGATAGATGGAAGGATGGATGGATGGATGGACGGATCTATAGATGGATAGATAGATAACACACACTCTCACAGATGGTGCAACTATTACCCACCACACCTCTTAATTTCTTGTGACAAATGAAAGCCGTGCCAGCGAACACATCACACAGCCGGTCTGATGGACAGGCTGCCTCTTTAAATCACACAGGGGGACGCACTCACATCCACGAGGCTGCATTTGATGGCGAAGGCAGACTGCGGAGGGAGGAAAATGGAACGGAGCAGTCAGGACAAGGGGCGTGGTGAGGGGCGTTGCACCTCGGCAAGATGGCATCGGTTGCTATGCAACTGGGCACCAAAGCTATTTATACACCGGCCCCCATGTCCCCCTTTTTTCCTCCCCAAGCTCCACTCTTACCGATCAGGAATGCTAGATTGGAAGCACAGCTTTGGGATGCGGATACACTGGGGTTCAACTGATTTGGGTTTTTGGTGGCTGATACTTTAAGATCAAAAATTCAAAGTAATTCCAAGGGTTGTGTTTCCTTATACTTGCTCGTTCATGTTAGGGTGGGTTTCTCACACATGTCTTACACATGATCATGGGAAAGTGGCCATTGAATCAAACCAATAGATTTGTGATCTCTCCATTCACCCGATGAATTAGAGTTTGGAGATGTGACAATATGTAGGCTGCAAGACCATATTAGATTGGTCAAATCTGCCACGGGGGACATACTATTTATGCCACCACAGCTATCCCTTTTAATATCTTTGGGTGTATTAAGCCATTTTTAAAATGTTTCAAATGAATGATTAGGACAGCTTCATGGCAATATTATTTTTAGGATTTTTGCATCATTATGTTGAAGCACCCTGATTTATCATTTGGTAAATTTGCCAAAACCAGGCACCCCCATCTGGTTCTTTTAAGCATCAATAGTTTCTCAGTAGCTTTTTCCATAAAATGTACTATATTACAATATAGTCTATAGATATCACAGAGGATAGAGAGTTGGATCCACTGCTTTTCTGAAATAAAGCTGATAAATAAAAGTTGTTTGGGCCATTCATTCAAAAGAGAAAACTTTATAATCATAAATTTCAGAGGAACTTCACTATCGCATACGTGAAAAAAAAGTTGTACTAAGCCTCTTGCTGCTCCAGAGGGAGCTGTATGACGTCTGATAAATTGCCTCGAGTGATGTCACTTGAGTCAGCGTTAGGGCCCGAAGACTACAAGTTTGTAAATGAAAACAATCTAGTGTACTAGACCTCTGTAGCCCGCTGCTTATCTCTGCTTGAGGCTAGCGACTCAAGGCTACATTAGCCGCTACTAGTGGCACACCCAAATCTTAAGCCAAACTTTTGGTGGGCGCTTTGCATCATGGGAAATGTAGGCGCCAGGTTCTGACAAGGAAGAACAATGCGTGGAATAAAAAAGACGATATCTCTGCATTGTTTTCGACCCACTGTGACTTCTACAATCTTTTAGGAGCGTGATGCTAAATTGAAGGAGTGCTCTGTAATTGTTTGTAATACAACAAGGTCTACATTTCATTGTAGAATTGAGACCACAGTCGGCATCAGTTCCTGATTGCTTTATAGGGCCATCAGCAACAAGTGGTCTGTGCTTGTTAGTCAGTTTAGTCGAAGTCACGTAAACACTTCAGTAACCGTGTTTTCCACCTTGATGGATCGTGACAATGGAGTGTTGAAGTGGAGCCAAAAGCACGAGCAGATGGCAGATTCATCACAGAGTATTAATTCTCTTTTTGTTTTCAAGTTAAACAACCAAGTAAACGGTCAGAAGGCTGACCTCGACTTTTGGTACATTTAAAACGTTAGTCCTGTCACCCGAAATCAGCCACCGCTCTTTATCGCCTTCCTCTTGCCGTAACAACGAGCTCTCTTTTTAAAACCCGCCGAGCGTAGTCATCACTCCGAGGCGACTCGAGAAACACGCGGCCGCCAATCCATTAATTTCCTCTTCTTTCAAACCCTGAACTTTATTAACTGTCATTCGGGGTGACCGTGTTGTTGCTCTGCGTCAGCGAGCTGCGAAACCAACCAGACAATGGATGTGATTGAGAGGCGAAACGGATGACATTATTGAATTTTAATCACATCTTTTCCACGCCGACGTCGAACACAGCAATTACCTGGCTACAAGACGTGTGTGTGTGTGTGTGTGTGTGTGGGAAGGGGTTGGAGCGCAAGGCAGACGACTGGCTCATCAGGTTCTCAGCGGCTGAAAGAAGGTCGTAAGTGGCTATCAGCGCACCCAACCCTGTCTGGATGGATCCCTCCTGTCGCAGCTTGGCGAGCTCCTTCCATATGGAGAGGGGCCTAATTATCCCCCACCAATGGCTGAATCAACATTTGATTATTTCCTCTCTAAGGCTGCTCTGAAATGCTCTATTCAAAGACCACTTTTATGTCTTCTCTCTCATAATCAAGAATGGCTGTTATTTGCTAATGATGAGTTTTAATTTCTTTTTTTAACACAACCCTCTCCCGACGCGCTGTGTGGCAAGACGTCTGACATATGTGCTGGTTTATGCCCTCGAGTATGCTGATTTTGACTTGAAAGGTTTTTAAATTAAATTGTAGCTGTTGAGAAATCTCTTCTTTTTTTCTTTCTTTTTAAAGATGCACATTAATTTATTCTTTTAAATTGTCTACTCAGTTAATGTTTCAGATAGCAGTTGGACGAACTGTGATGATCTTTGAGGAGCTGTGTTGCATATTTAAGTCAAAAAAAAAAAAAAAAAGACTCTACAATGTGAATATTGCATTTTATTGACTAAATAGATGTTTCCCCTTTTCCTAAAGGGATGAAATGAAACTCTCGAATCCTTTGTCTCCGATTCATTCCTTTGTGGTCAGCACACCTGTACGTGATGCTGCCAATGCGTTTTCCAACCTGCATATTTCACCGGTATAGACAATGAAAAGGTTTCTGTCAAAAAGCTCTCTAACTGTCAAGCCTCCGGAACGCCTCCCTTAAAAGGTGCTGAGAAAAAAATAAAAAAGCTGTGATTTTAAAATGCAATTCTTTTCTTTTTTTCTGTTCCATAGCCAGCGGAACTTGGCAGAAATCACTGAGTTGATCCACACGGCGTTCCTGGTGCATCGTGGGATAGTCGATCTGAAGGGGTGGACGGACTCAGACGGCCCGCTGAAGGACATGGAGTTTGGGAATAAGATGGCTGTGCTGAGCGGCGACTTCCTGCTGGCAAATGCTTGTACCGGACTTGCTCAACTGAATAACACTAAGGTACCCGGTCTGTCGGTAAAACAAACTGTAGCCCTGTGAGATATCTGACCTGACAAAACTCCCGGCTGTCCAATATGTGGAGCTGTAAGGTGTCGGCCCTGATCCCTACTTTTCTCGACCACGTCCAAACTCACGCCCGCAACGATTATATATTGCAGAGTTCCCACGGATCATGGTATTTATGGGATATTCTCGGTTTGTGAGAGGTATTTTCACAAAGCAGAGTACCCACAGTGCAAACGTCCTCATCAACCCATCTGCAATACCTCCGTGTTTTTATTTTGTCTAAATCTCTGGTGCTGAGCATACATCAGTGTGATGTTTTTACATGGCACTTTCCAGAGATCCTTTTTCACTCAAGCGGCAAAGCCGCGGTGATTCCCAACCTGGCGGCTGCAAGATAAATCTCAGGGGCTGCGAGATGATCAGCAGGATTAGCATGGTTCAAGACCTCTGAATCCCACCGCACATCAAATTCATTCAGTAGCTCAAATAAGTCTGGTGTTGTCCTTCTGTTTCTTTTAGAGTATTGACCAATAAGAGTTTAGTTGGCCAAATTAATAATGGGAGATAATAATAATCAATCTTTCCTTCAAAGAAAGCTAGGCTAGCTGCATTCATGAGAAATAAGAGAAAAATGGCATCTAGCGTGGGTGAGATTGACCTCCAACCGATGGCTGTTTCTGCCAGTTAGAGAAACAATTCACCAATCAGAGTTCAGTAGATGGGAGTAAGAAAGGGGACGTCATTTTCCTACATTGCTAGCTAGCTAGATGAGTGTGGATGAGCCCGACACAGCTGTACAAAGGGAAAAACGTTGAAGGTACCCTGTGGAGTTTTTGACCACTAATGGCGCGACGGAGTGATGTTTTTAGAGTTGGGTGCCAGGTTTGTTTGAATCGTGGCTTGTGTGATGCACATTTAATACAATCAACAGTCGGCAGCGGTTAAGAGCATCAAACCAAGCAATGCACCATCGGCGTTGCAAACGCGTCTGTTAAACTTGTTTTGTGCTCCTCGCGGTCAGCTTGGTCGTCGTGGTGCGGACGGCAAATTTCGCACAATCACCGCCTGGGCGACTGTGCGGTGGGGTTCTGAGCATCGGGCCGCGCACCTTTTCAAGACTTGGTCACACAGACCGCGTCAAAATGATTGACTCAGAGCAGCTGTCAATCACAGGTGTCACTCAGCTTTCAAAAAGTTGACTAGTCTCCCACAACAGAGCGAGGCAACAGAGGTCTGCTGACGAGACTTTCGCATTGTGCTGATCGCAAGAAGCATGAAACGGGGCTCAAACCTTAAATGATAGACTCAATGTGAGTAACACAGAATTTAAACAGAACTTTTTTGTTTGCTTAGGAAAAAAACCCAAAACTAGCAACTGCAACTTCCGTGTCAACTGACTCATCAGCGGGCACTCGCTACTGATCGGTGAAAGCAAAACCTAACAAAATAACATTGCTCCCAACAAGAAATCGGCTAGTACAAACATCGTCTTATTCTCTTTAGATCTCTGAAAACGATCAGTCAAGCTGCCTGCAACCAAACGTGTTTCCGGGCAACAACTTCAGTAGACGTTGCTTGGCAAGGGTCGGAGAATTTGGGAACTAATGGCGTAGTTGGTACCGTGAGGTCTTATCTTTGTGAAAAAACACCTTTTCAGACACCGGCCTTGACAACAGCGTATGATAGTCGATGTGGTTGAGGAGACACCATAGACATGCACACCATGGGAATCCTGCTTATTGAGTTTTCAGTTTTGAAGGCACGTGTGTGGTGGTGGTCTCGTAAGTGCACCACAGATCATATCTGCTGTGCGGCCTGGTAACCCCTCGCTGACAGATATTGTCACCACGCTGCTCTGTCAGAATGCGGTTTTCCCGAGCGGATCAAAATAACCGTCTCTCTCTCTCTCCCAATTGTGCCGTCAGCCCCGCCGGCCCTTATCGCCTTCCCTGCAGCTTCGTATTCGGCACTCAACTGGGCTGGGTTTATGTCCTGCTCTGTGGCAGCAAAGAGACGCCCTCCCAGAATGTGATGTAAGCGACATCCACAGTGCTTCTCGTGTGAGGAGCGTAGCAGGAGTTACAAGCAATCAACATTTCCTTTTCGGAAATTAAAGATCATTTCAAAGGTGTGGCGTTTCCCTTACAGTGCTAATTAGCTTTCATTGGGATTTGTCGGCGCTACAGTGCTATGACCAATAATTGTCAATCTGTGGCTGTGCAGCAAATTACAGTAATGGAGTCGATGCTGTTGTTTCCCTGAAAGAATGGAGAAGAAACGACGCTGGGAATGAAAATGATGGAAGATCTGCTGATGACTTGAGCTAACGAGGATTTAATCATGCTAAGCGGTCATTCACATCAAGCATGTCTGCAACTGGTTGAATTGAAGTTGGGGAGCGATCCGTCCCTTTGTGGCACAGTTCATTGTCTAGGTGAGAGCGATGCCGTTTCAAAACTCAACTTGCACCAAAACACCACGCAGACGGTGCCTGAAATGATTAGTCCAAACAAACCTGCAGTGCTGTTTGTGGGAGTGCGACTGTAATCTGAAGCAGCCACAGGAAACCAAAGTGGATGTTGTTGTTTTTTTTTAAGAGTAATAAGGAGACGGATATCCGATAGCCGGCAGATACTCGTGTTTGAAAAGGTTAGCAAAACAAAATGAGCGGAGGGCAAACCCACAGTATGCCCTGATGCTCGTATTTGGCTGAGTTTTTGTGAAAGCTGTTCTTCGCTGCTTTATGAACAAGGAGAAGGGGGATTAGATAACTGCAAACAGGAATAAAAAAAGACCATCATACCAAGCTATAGTGACAGGAATGGGAAGTTAGGTCACTCAAACCCTTCCTTTTTGGGAGTTCATGTTGACTTTTGTCCACGATTCATCTGTAGCTTTACCTCGAGAAACTTCTTGGAAATTGGGGTCTTAAAAAGATTCACACGACATCATCCGTATTCTGTGTCTGTCTCCATAAATTGAGAAGACTAACTCTCTATTACTGACCCAATCAATCAAGATGAAGTATTACAGGCTGTAGCTATCGTGGTAATAAAGATTACACTGTGATGGGAGCCATCACGTTATGAGTTAGACTTTTTTTTTTTTTTTTTTTTTTAGAATGAATCAAAACAGACGAGGCCGAGGTATACTGACTTCTTGTCTTTAGTATGGGTCAAGCTCCAAAAAACACTACATTTCCCATGATGCAGCTGGAAATCATTCATCACAAGACCCGCCCCTGTCTCCTAAAAGCCCACTCATTTCAAGCCCAGCAACCCCAGTTCGTAAAAAATAAAACGGTTACATCATCAGGGTTATTTTTCTGCAAAAAAGGTATTTTTTTTTTTTAAAGGGCGGCAGATCGTCATAAAGGCTGACTAGTCCTCCTCGTGATGAGTAAACTGAATTCCATGTGTGAAATTCATGGAGTGCTCTTTTAAACACTACATCCACCCTGGTTCAGCTACTCGTGAAGAAAAACACATAGGTAGTTTCTGCTAATTGTCTGATATTTATAACTCGACCAGCTTCCAAAGTGCCCAGAGTTGGAGTCTTCTAAACGGATTGTCTGGCCATCTTTCCTTGCAGCTCGTGTGTGGTCATTGCCCCACATTGTTTCCATACACAGGATGACCGATGAGTAGTTCTTGCAGCTTTCCAAGTTTTCTCATAAACCAGCTTTTTTTTAAAGTCAGTGAGAGCGATGGAGATCATGTGTCGTGGCCTTGAGAGGAAACCTATGCCGCTACTTGTATAAACTGTAAAGTAATCGCACCGTGGTGCTCCAGTTTCTTCCCCCCCTGCCCCCCACCACCACACCCTTGCAGACCTGTCGGCAAAACACGATCTGGCTGGATTTGGGAATGGAGTAAGGGGGAGGCAGTGGGAGAGCTTATCTGATACCTTCCAAAAAAAGACCCCCGCCGGCCCCCACTTCCCAAGGCAGGCAGAGACACCACATCTGGTAATACTGTAGGCACATTGTCCTTCCAGGTCTGTGGGCGAAAGCTCGGGTTTCCTCAATATTTTCCCCCGGAGGATTGGGTTACCCAAAGGGCACTGCGAGGCTGACGGAGCGGTCCAGCGTCACCAGACTTTTCTGATGAACCGAGGATGTCTGGGACGAGCTGAAGGAGCTCTAAATGTAACCCCATTCATCTGGACCGTACGGGCACGGCCTCCGCTCCTCTGTCCACACACTGCGGCTGTGAATGGACGACGGGAGGGATCGGCTTCACCCATTCCCTAGAGCCAGACTTTGAGGAATCATTTGAAAAGATGCAGCTTTTCTCCTCTGGTGGTTGATAAGGGGCCCGCTGTGTTTCCGTGAGCGAAAATGTAGTCATGCATGCCCCCTGTAAGAGGAAATGAGCAACTGCAGTCTTAAACTAATTGTCCAGACCTACATTTTTATCTCATTTTTTAGTCGTTGCCCTTTTATAAATGTATTTTTTTAAGGTAGGAAGTTATGTATTATCTCATGTCAGTTTCCCCAAAAGCAGCATGTTTCTTCCTTGTGCAGTATATGGATTGACTTGTCCTGGAAAGAGTCTGGCGATGGAAGAAGTGGTTCTTTTTCATTTTTTGCTTCCATCTCTCTGTGCCTCTTCTGCAGAAAACCACCAATGTCTAGATGCTCTTTAAGTGTCAACATAATTCATAAAACAAATCTGCAATGAGGAGAAACAAAAGGAGAGCAAAGAGTCGGATCATCGCTCCTAAACCTCGTTAACCCCTCTGCTCTCTGGACAGGGTCTCATTCGGTCTCGCCATCTGGCTTTTTAGCTCCGTTTCAGCCCCTCGGACCGGACAGACACCTGATCCGTCTCCATCGACAGGACTTCTCTATAAATACAGAGTCTAATGAATGAAGTGGAGCCTGGATCAACAGGAGCTCCGCTATACGGCCTGATAATGAGCGGCGGAGTTCGCGGCAGTTCACCTGGTTTCCAGCCCCTCGTCTCACCTCCGATTTCTTCACCAAACCAGTTGTGCTGATAGCCCGCGCTTCAATCGGGGTAAATTGTGTTGTTTTTTTTAATTAGAAATGTCACTGATGAACCGAGCAGCGTGTCTGTTGTGATCGACCTCATTCACGTCTACATTTGAGGAGTTTAATCGAGGCTGTTTGCCAGAGTGATTTATAACGAGGGAGAAGGTTATCGGTTCAGTGCCCGAGTCCAAGGACCAATCAACTGGACTGTTGATGGACATGTTGACTGTTGAGCAGATCGATCCCATTATTTAGCTCTGTCTTACAGATAAGAGGATGTTGTGTAAATGTACTATAGTTGGATGTTTTGATAATGCTTTAAGATTGAGATTTTAACCCAAATGTGTTTTTAATCTGTTTGACAGGTTGTTGAACTGATCTCGAGTGCCATCGGTGATGTGGTTCAAGGAATCTACAGTGAGAATAACAGTAATGCTGAGGTAAAGCATCTGTTCTGCATGGCAGACTACACCATTGGAATTTGAAATTGTCCCTTTTTAAAATGTCCTGGGGTCAAAGACAGTGAGCCAACATGAGTGGCTTAAGACTACAAATAAAGGCCAGGCATATTCATTTATACAGCACGTTTCATACTTAAAGGTACTTCAAAGCACTTAACCTACAAACAGACGACGTTACAAAACGTTCCAACCACACAAATGTAGATCAAGAATAACTTAAAGAAAAAAGCTGATATTTAATGTTGTTGCTATTGTGCTCCAAAACCTCCCATGAAAAGACCAAATCCATCCCACTAACAAGTGTCCTCTGTCCAAAGCCTTTGTCACCATTGTTGTCCAAAAGCTTTCAAAAAACACAGCAGTGAGCCACACTGTTGCACATATCCCATCCTGCTGCCTGAAATACTCACTAAGAGCACCACATGTGGATTAATCCGCCACTGAAAATAGTCCCCAAATAGTCCCCAAATGTAGAATTGAGTTTTGGGTTTTAGTAACATTTGCTAGAAACTACAGCCTTTTCATACATCTGCCCCAGAGACAGCCGTGGCCAGAGACGGACTGTTTTCTGGGTTGTTCATCCATTCTCGTAAACGCAATATCTCGGCATCGCATTGAGCTAATTTTTTCAATTCTGGCACAAACGTCCACTTATACTTCAGGATGAACTGATTCGAATTTGGTGGTCGAAGGTCGCCGTGAGCTCACGATACACATTTTGGGCTATGACAATTTCACACAAATGTCTAACGGGATAAAATGATGAAGTGATGACATTTTGGATGAACACGGATGTAAACATTAATTGATAAGAGTCTTTCTGGAACTGACCACAGTGCTGTCAGTTACCAGTTTCCTTTTATTTGACTGTGCTGCTTTGGTTCTGCTGTAATTTACTGCCAGTTCATTTTTCAACCGTTCACCGTGTCCCTCAAACAAAGTTTCAATTCTGACCTCTTCTGTCGTACGTTTGCTCAAGAAAACGCTTGAGGATTTATTTTTTCTCTATTATCAAGTCTTTCATATGTACACACGTGGACAAAATTGTTGGTACCCTTCTGTTAAAGAAAGGAAAAACCCACAATGGTCACTGAAATAACTTGAAACTGACAAAAGTAATAATAAATAAAAATGTACTGAAAATGAACTTATGAAAACCAGATATTGCTTTTGAATTGTGGTTCAACAGAATAATTAAAAAAAACAAACTAATGAAAATGGCCTGGACAATAATGATGGTACCCTTAACTTAATATTTTGTTGCACAACCTTTTGAGGCGATTTCTGTAACTCTCAATGAGACTTCTGTACCTGTATATTGGTATATTGGCCCACTCTTCGTGAGTAAACTGCTCCAGCTGTCTCAGGTTTGAAGTGTGCCTTCTCCAGACTGCATGTTTCAGCTCCTTGCACAGATGTTCATTAGGATTTAGATTAGGGCTCATAGAAGGCCACTTCAGAATAGTCCAATGTTTTGCTCTTAGCCATTCTCGGGTGTTTTTAGCTGTGTTTTGGGTCATTATCCTGTTGGAGGACCCATGACCTGCGACTGAGACCAAGCTCTCTGACACTGGGCAGCACATTTCGCTCCAGAATCCACAAAGCTTCTGGGAGAATGTCCTTTTGGCAGATGAGACAAAACTGGAGCTTTTTTGGCTCATCAGCTCTATGTTCACAGACATGAAGCATACAGAGAAAATAACACTGTACCTACTGTGAAACATGGAGGAGGCTCGGTTGTGTTCTGGGGCTGCTTTGCTGCATCTGGCACAGGGTGTCTTGAATCTGTGCAGGGTACAATGACATCTCAAGACTACCAAGGCATTCTGGACTCTCATTGAGAGTTACAGAAATCGCTTGATTGCAGTGATTGCCTCAAAAGGTTGTGCAACAAAATATTAAGTTAAGGGTACCATCATTATTGTCCAGGGCATTTTCTGATGTTGAATCGCTGCTAGTGTGCTCTGTGCAGTGCGAGCTCAAGACGCGCAGCGTCTCTTTCTCTGTTCGCCCTGCAGGAGGACGGTCCCACTGACTGCGTCGACGTGGCGGCGTGGGAGGAGCGCGCCTTCCTGTCGCACGGGGCACTGCTGGCTAAGAGCTGTCAAGCTGCGATGGAGCTCGCCAAACACGACAAGCGGTCACAGAGATTGGCCTTCAAGTACGGCAAGCACGTATCACTGGGACACAAGGTAAGTCCAATGTGATTGTCCCGCACAGCAAATACCAGCGAAGTTTGTCTGCGGAGGACAAATCAATAAAGGTTAACTTGGGCTACTTTTTGGGGTAATCACAGCTTTGTTTAAAGGCCATAAAAACAAAGTTTCTGTGGCTTTAATCTGGTTGTTGTCCCTCCTGACCACCGTACTCTTTGTGACTGAGATCAAGTTGAATGAAATTCAAGGAATAACTCTGCCTCAAACAGGCTGCTGATTGGCTGCTAGTCCCACGGTTCTCCAGGAGGCAGCCGCATCTCAAAATTTCCCTCATCTAACGTGGACTTATTTTAGTTTAACAACATTTGTATGTCTTTCGATGAGCCTCTTCACATCGTAGCTGATTTTCATACAAGAAATATGTGGGCGGGGGGACTGACAGCTTTGTTGGAATGTAATTATTCTTTTGTAGATGGAGCAGTTTTTGTCAGTGATTCACATTTAGGTGACAAACATACACATGTTTAATGTGCAGCAGATAATGGAGATGCTCTGACATCGCTCAAGGTTCAGAGGCGGTATCTCATTGATGCCAGCCTAAAGGTCACTGGTAAGAGTCCCCGTCTCAGTGCTGTGGTTCGTACGTCCTCTCCTGCTGTGTCTGCAGGCCTCAGTGGCTACAAGGAATCTCAGCACGGGACGTAACCGCAGCGCGTTCTTCTAAGAACAGCCGTCCTCATCAGGCTAGCTGTTCAACACGCTGCTCATTAACAGAGAGTCAGAGTGCACGCTCACCTGTTCACGCTCTCGCCGCTGGGGCTGGTTTAATTGGCGCCCGGGAAGTCACAAAGTATGAGCTCGGCCCGACTGTCGTCTGATTGGCCAACGCGTCTCTGTCTCCTCCGCAGCTGAACTCGGACCTGCAGCCGTTCATGAAGGGCGACGCGGGAGAGCCAGCGTCGTTCAGTTTCAGCGCCGCCCCGGTGGTTTTCCACCGCCAGCTCGTCGGCCAGGAGAGATGGCGTCAGCAGCTGCAGCAGGTACGAATGGTCCCGACTGAAACATCTCAACAACTGTTGGGTGGATGTCCATATTCACCTGCTTACTTTAGCAATCTCCTGACTTTTCCTCTTCAGAATGTCTGACACTTTTTCTGCTGATATAACCTGTGAGAATTGAAAATGAATGGCTGGCTGAATTATGAGCGTGCTGCCACCAACATGCTGCACCGAGTTTACTCAATGCCAGCAACCTGGATTATCAACACACTTTGGCCTTTAAATGTAGAAAATAGTGATATTAAGGCTTTAGAGGGTTTGTAGCAAATGAATGGTCGACTTAATTCCTGTTTATTTGTTTGATCCGACTCACACTTTTCTCCGTTCATTAAAACACTTCATCTCGAGGAGAATGACTAATTGGGCTTTTGAGCAACTCTAGCATCAGGTTTAAATTAAGGTTGTTGTTTTTTTTTGTCAGAAATTCTTGACTTGAAAAGTTTGAAGTTCTTCAGTTTCATCAAATTGTAACTCTTTAAAAAAAAAAGGGGAAAAAAAGAGTTGATCACAATGTTAAGGCAACCTTACTCTCTTTTCTCTGCAAGGCAACAACACTGAGAAACCAGCTGGATTACTCAAAGGTAAGCCCCCTGGTTCATGTATTCCTCTATTCACAATGCAGCGTTACCCTTCGTGTTGCATTTTCCAGTAAGATAGCTCCATTTTTCATTGTTTTGTTCACCCGTTTGCTCACTGGCGCGGCATCTGACCGAGACAAACAGGACGTCTCCTCACTGTGTAACCCATATCAAAGTTGAGACATGAGCCTCCCAAAGTCAATGTGTGAGGGACGAGGGAGGGCCGACAGGGGTGCAAGAAGAGACCGAAGCTACAGGGGAGGGGTCCGGTGGTGTCGCGGGGGTTATCTGGTCCCGACTGAAACCGGAGCAGCAAGGATCGGTTACCGAGGCCTATTTACGGAGGAGACACTCAGGCTCTGAGACAGTGGCATTGTGAGAGAATCTCCTTCAGCAGACCTGTCGAGAAACGGGACATGGGGAGAAGTTTGAGGGGAAGGAGAGATGAGGGGACAGCGAGGAGGAAAGCTGAGAGCAGGACAGAGGGGAGGGATGTGATTTTTTTTTTAATTTGTTTTTTTGGGGGGGGGAGGAAAAAGAAAGACCTTGAGCCCACGGGCGTCCAACTTTGCTTTGATTCAGCACAAAGATGGGAATGTGTAATTAGAGGAACTTTGTGAACTTTTCTGGCATTCACATTGATTTAGCATGTGCTTTCATCCAATTAACTCTGATAAATAACCATAAATCTTCACAGAAACTCCCATTTTATACCGTTTCTCAGTCGTTCTTTCATTCCCAATTAGAAAACAACCCCAAAAACAGACTTTTTGTTTTAATTGATTAAAGGATCAAAGGAGTGTCCAGATTGGTTCGAAATGAATGATTTTTTTAAATAGCAATATTTTTTGTACTTATAATACAACAAAATGTGACTAAATGAAAGAAGTGAGGAGGACACACCTGAAGTCTTCCAGCGTCTTCAACCCATTGACGCATAATGACAAGTCTGTGTGTAAAAGAAATGACTCAAGATACAAAAAAGGAAAAAGACTTGTTCTAAATATTGATTGGAGCTTATGCACCAGATGGAACAAAGGAGAATGTGGAACACTAAAAGATAACATCAAGTTAGTGATGCAGAAGCAAACAGAGTTGAGAAATAAGACGGTGGAAAATGTGAGTGAAAAATAATCTTTTCTAAATTGAATAAGCAGCCAGTGTGATGCAGAGTTTGACATTTATTTTTTTTAAAGAAGGAATGCCTACGGGGATTTTCACCTCCAAAATTCATGAGTTATTACGCCCCCAGCAAAAAGATGTCCCAACACACCAGCAGTAAGACTCGAGGAGACGCCCAAATCACTCAGTCTGAATACTTAAGCTGCTGGTTGGGGCGGATCTGACTTGATGTTTTCCACTTCCTTGTGTATGTTGTGTGTGTGTGTGTGTGTGTCCCAAGCCTTGTGTACAAACACACAGACTTTCTCCAAATGATCAAGTTCTCTTTTTGAGATTTTATTTTATTTTAAACTAGATACAACATTTAGAAGTAGCATATTGGTATTCAAATCACTCACAAATGTAAGCAGTCACACTGGGGGGGAAAAAAGAAAAAGTCATCACAAACTCTTGACATCGTTGGGTGAGCAGGACATTTTAATTTCCCTGCTTTGCACTTCAGTGCAATTTATTACCTGGATTGTAGCAAAACCTGTGATCTGGTGCCATGATTAGGAGACTAAAAAAAGGACCGGAGAGGCTGCGAGGTGCCCGGGTAGAACCTACAGAAGTAACATGAAATCCAGCACATCTCCCTTCTCACCGTCAGAAATGGCCTTCCAATTGTTCTTATAATATAACTCTCAGCGATGAGTCTGAAATGTTTCCCTTGTAGTTAAATGTAGTAAGCTGCCTCCAGTGGTGCCGGGGGCAGCATACATGAGTGTGTTATACAATGTGATTTCTGTTTTGTTTTTCTCTTCTTTGCCTCCGTACAATCCACTTACTTTAATGTGCGCCAACTTCACCGCGGCTCCCGCCGGTTTGTCGTGGTTGACGGGAGCGACACCGACGTGACAGGCTAACGTGTTTTTTTTCCATCCCCCTGGCAGCTCTTGGTGTCAGTGAAGTCTGAGAAAGGCGTGAGCTCAGCGGTGGACTTATGCTGTTACCATGGTAACAGGGCTCTGGAGGCCATCCAGGCTTTCCCCTCCTCCGAGGCTCGATCCGCCTTGGAGAACATCGCCTTCGCCATCACCAAATTTTAAACCTGGACACACACACACACACACACACACACAGTGTCTTTGTCTGCAGAGGCAACAGGTCACTGAACAGTTCAACAAATCAACTTCTCACGTCTGGAGAAACTGCTCTCCTCTGCTGTGGATGACAGTGTGCAATGCAATGGCTATACCCATAAATGGTCATCATTAAAAAGAATAAAAGCACATTACTGCAGCATCGTGTCGTGCATTGTGTTGCACTCCGACACATACCCTACCTCTCTTTCCCTGCAGAGAAAAAAATATCACGCCAAGCTGCATTTAAAAACCTGCCGGATTTATTACCACCTCGCTTATCAGCGGAGGCACATTCCAGGCAGAACTCAATTTAACATGTTTCGCAGAATTGTCATTCATCTGGAAAATGGGTCACGAACGACAAATGATGCACCAAGCAGCGCGTCTTTATTTTTTAGAATCACGCAGGTTCACCCCGTTCATTACTGCACACCTCAGATGGTAGCTGCTGGATGTAGCGGGTGTTTGCCAAACTGAAAAGAGCAGCTCCAATCCGGTTGTAAAAATGTCCCAGAGTCATGTTCTACCAGGTATGTGCTGCTGCTGATAAGCACAGCTGCAAAAAAAAGGAAAGGGAAAAAAGGTATTTTTCTAATGGGGGTTTGGCATGATATTCGCTCCACGGGGGGGGATGGCATGAATCGGGAGTAATGTCATCTATGTTGCCTTATTATGTCCGTGCCCCATTCCTGTATATGTGATCCAAGTCGACCCAGGGGCGGGGAAAGGTCACACAGTCTCTCCCCTTGGCCCAGCCAGTGAGTGCATTGAAGCTCCGCCAAGCAGTAATTATTAATGAAGAGACCTGAGCAAATGGACAGGAAATGCAGAGGTATTGATTGGGCCGGCTGCCCTGCTCCAAGCCGTACAGGCTGGCGCCAGCCTGGTGGCCTGTGGTTTCCCAGGCTGCTGTCTGCAGAGGGGGTGGGGGGTGTAAGGGGTCAGCAGCCAAGGTGTGAAACCAGGCCACCGCTGGCAGCTGTCTGTCACATCCAGGCCACACCTGAAGGACGGAGCACAGGCCACGAGGACTGAGCTAACAAAGGATTCTGGGTCGCTCTAGAGAACAGCAGCGCATGTCGGTACCACATCAGAACATGCTAGCTAGCTAGAAACTGCCTATCTGTCAGTAACATCACAATTAGTTGCAGGTTCCAGATGAAACCGTTCCTCTAAATGACAGGAAACTCCTGATGATACAATTATGGTTTTTAGCCATGCTAGTGATGTGGCTCTAGGGTCCACCACTTTGGTCCAGACTGAAAGATATCAACTGCATTACATGGATTCATTTCTATGTGACGTTCACAGCCCCCAGAGGATGAATCCTACTAACTTTGATGTAGCTGTGCTTTGTGGTTAGCATGGTAAAACAATATAGCTACTTAACATCAGCATGTTTGCCGTGTCAGTTTGAGCACGTTAGCATGCCGGTGTTTGCATTCAACTCAACCAAGGCTCTTAGTCTTGTTCATTTGATGGTTCCCCAAATACAACTTTAATAAAACTTCACAGTTTCAGTTGCATTCAAGTTGCACCACGGAAAGCAAATTTTAGTCCTGTCCCTCAAGACTTGTTTACATGTAAGTCATAATGATCTGATCAAATACCTCGACATTAAAAAAACAAAAAAAACATGAGGCAAAGCAGCAGTGGTGGAGGAACTGACACTGAGGGTGAAAAGTGGATGAGGAAGATTCAGAGGGTTGGAATAGGGGGGAAGGGGGAGATGATGGGCTGAAGAAGACGTGGAGTGAACTATTCCGAAAACAAACTTGTGTCTGTTGCTGGGTTGTCCGTCCACTTCCTCTGCTGTTTTGGTTTTCCGCTGCCTGGGCTTCCTGGGTACAAGCGAGGTACAGCATGTGCCAAGGAGAGCCTCCGGCACTTCATGAAATATTTATCCTCGCCGTGAGGAGACATGAGGAAAGTTACATGGAAAGTTAAAAGGACCAAACAAGGAAGGAGGCTGGGGCACTGCCAGAATGACAAATATAGTTACGAAACAGAACTTCTATTTTTTTTAAATGGTGAGGTCTGGCCTAAGCAATGAAACTGTTGCGTAGACACTCCCAGAAATCAACCAGGCGCTGCAGAAGCAGATTTGATGAGACAGTTTTTTTTGTTTTTTTTCAACTTCAAGAGGAAAGCACAGTTCTTCAAGCTAAATGTTTAATGTAGAACAGAAATTGTAGCCTTTTTTGTTCTCTGACATTGCTACTGCCAGCATTAATCTTTTTGATATGTCCTGCGAAGCCCAAATGAAGAGCAGGCCGAGGGAGGAGAGGGGTTGGTCCGCTCCGTGTCCTGCACAGCAGAAACCTGACTCTGTGTTTGCTTACAGTTTCCAGTTTGAGAGTCTTGGGTATCATGAAAGCAAGAGTTGGCAAGAGTATAAGTTTACATGCAAAACATGAAGCGGGCAACAGCGGCCCAGTGTGCCCCGGCCCAGACGATGAGTGGTGTAATTACAGCAGGGTCCAGTGGAGAGTCGGTCAGCACGGATTCCATTACACACACACACACACACACACATACACAGCTGTGGATGCTGGAGACAGAACGACAGTCAGCCTTTGAGTTTGACATAAGGATGCAGTGTTGTTGAAAATCTCCAAGATTTTCATTTAAATAAATATTTGTTGCGTCACTGTCGCCGAAGGAGGTAACACAATGATGATTGAGAGCGATGGCCCACTGATGAAAGTACTGCAATATTTATGTATTTGTCATTTTACAATGTCTGTGACATTCCCGAGTGGGGAAAAAATAAGCTGTATTCCCGTTTTTCTTCATTGTATACACACACAAAAAATGGACATATGCACACAATTTGGGAAATTTGAACCTCTGAAGTGTTTGGGGGGGGGGATATTCTGTAACTATCACCATTTTGGACAAATTCCAGTTTTCCTTTTCTACCGGGGAGTCATGCTTACAAAGGCTGTGGATTTTATACTATCAGGAATGCTACAAAGCGGAAACACAGATCATTGTAATCTTGCCATCGAAATTTTAGCCTTTCAAATATTTTTTTCTTTTCATCATAAACTCAAAATGGTACCACTTTCTAATACCTCGCCTCATCGAATCTGTTGCTTTTCAATGTCGTCTAGCTCTGTGAAGTTTGGGATTAACATTACATTTTTAATATTGGAGTTTTCCACTCTGATATTATTAATATATTAGTCATCTCTGTCTCTACCTCACCTGTCTGTGACCACAGGCTCTCTCCTCAGTTGATAAACTAAACTTCTTGTGTCGTCTTCTCTCTATAGAGTGATGACGTATTTTGGTTGGCCAAGCAGGAAGTTAGCGTCGCCCTGGCTTCCTCGACAAACAGACAGTGGGATTTCCTGTTGGCTTTAGGATTATTGCAGAAAAAGGCAAATCAAAGTTTATGACACTTAAATGTTTTGTTCAGCGAGAAAAGGAACACCGTATTAACAGGTTTTGAAGCGGAACTGCAATCGCTTGAAGCAACTAGCATTAGGCTGTAAACAAACTACACCACGGTCGCCTCTAAGCCTCCAGCTTGTCATTCGATTCTGTAACAATCGAGCAAAACTACAATGAGAAAACTCTTTCATCTGGTCAATCTACAAGTTGGAAGGTTTGTGTAAGAAACGTTTGCAAGAGGGTCGGGGTAAACACAACGAGCCTGTGAAGGCGGACTAGTGATGAACCCAAGAGTGGAGTATTTACTGACGTACTGTATTTTATGTTGTAGAACCAAACATGAAGATCTGTCAAGCTTGTGTTGCTTGTGCTTATTTCAGGCATCTAACCACAAACCCATTAAAAAAACAAAACATTGACTGCAAGACGAGTGAACCTGTTCATTTAATAATTTGGTTGACATGGATGAGCGGATGGAAAGCCGTGCTGGTCTGAGGATGATCAGCAAGTCTCAGGACCAGCCGATAGAGAGGGTGTAGGGGTTCAGGTCTTGGGTTAGACATCTCACTTTGTCTTGGGGGACGATGACTCATTACCAAAATTTGAGTGTCCTCTTTAAATGTTAACCAGTGGGTAGCGGCCTAATTCAGCCCTTGAAGCATTGGTTGGTGTTTTTCTTTGGATGTTTAATGTGTCTCTACAGAATTCTGCATGCAGGGCCTCTATGGGATGCTTGTTCCCCCCCCCAGTGTCGGATGACTGATTGGACCTCATACTGCACTACCATAAAGGGTGATTGGTTGGATTACACTGTCAAATGTTTTAGTCCAAATTCTAATTGTAATGACTATTTTGTAAAATGTTTCTTACAATTTCATCAAATTATTTGCTTTGTTTCCCTGCCAAGTTACCCGAGGCACTGAGATACGGGCTTCTTTTCTTATATTTGATATGTTTAAATTGCCTGTCAACAATGCTCCAGGAAGTCCAGGTGCTGCTGTCATCTGTGTTGAGTGGGTGCCAGCCACACCAGTTCATCAGCACAGAGCAGGAACTCAACTCCTTAAATGTTAAGGCTGAGGTCCTGATCGCTCCAACTGCACTGCAATAGGTCACTACAGTCTAAGACAAGCTGTCGCCCCGAAAGACGCCTCTCTCTTGAGTGAACGGATGTGTAGTTTTGTTGCTGATTTTATGATATAATCCCTCTTGCCAAATAGGGAGAAAAGTGTTTATGAATCACTAAAGCATGCAAAAAATGTACCCATGTTTTTATTTTTTGTTGGTGGTGTAGCCTACTTTAGTCAGAAAAGGAATCTTCATCGGGCCCACAGCGGATGACATGACTGGCTACAGAGATGCCAAGTTTGCCTGATAATCCCAGCACTGCTATGCTTATTTATTTTATTTTTTCCTAAATAGGTTCACCCTGCTTATTTGCTGTTGGATATAGTGGGTGTTTGCCAAATTGAAGAGCAGCTCCAAACCAGTTGTGAAAAAAGAAGTATTTCCTACCAAGTATGCACCTTTGTTGATAAGAAAACAGCTGTCAAAATCAAATCAAGCTGTTTTTTTTTTTTAAATGTCGTTTGCCGTGACGTTCTCTCTACAGCGGGAGATATGGCATGAATTAGGAATGATGTCATTTACGTTGCCAAGAAACTTGATTTTAAAGACACTAAGATGTGTTGCTTACATGATCAAAAATGTTACAAGTTACAAGTTACAATTAATCACATTTGTTTGTAGGTTTTGCAGATTGCATTGCTGCTTTGATGGGCATTCAACTCCAATAGAGACGTAAAGGTCACAGACCCGTGCAGCGCGTGTGTGCCTCCTTTTTATCTGTCACTGTTTAAACCCTGCGATGTACTGGTGCCATGGTCAGTGGCGTTTCCCTGCCTTCATTCCTAGTGCATGCTGGGATAGATTCCCCGCGGCCCCCTGTGGCCCTATAAGGAATAAACCAGTGCGTAAAATGGACTGCGAGAGTCTGAGAGCGGAGTGATATCAGAGGCACCATCCGTCTTCCTGTGAATGGCCTCTCAGTAAACACCTGCTAATGCCATCATACAGCTGACGGTGATGGATGGAAGTCGTTCTCCTGCGATGGGAACAGTACGGCTGATCGGCCGCCTCGACGCAGACGAGCATATTGGCCAAAAAAAATGACACTTTAACGAGCTCTTTCCTGGCGTTAAGTGCCGCGCGCCGGCCCCCTCGTCGCGCGGCTGACCCGGGGAGCCGCACCACCCCCCTTCCTGCACGTGGCCCCCCCTGCTCGCCCCATTGGCTGACAGATCAGACTGTCATGGAGACGGCTCGTTAGTCGCATAATGAGAACCACACGTCGTCTTGTTATATCATCTCGGTGTGTCTCGACGCGGCTGGGGGACAGAACACCGGGTGCTAGTGTGCGCGTGAAATGCCCGATGATTCAGATAGAATTAAGGCACCGTGAGGTCACCCGTTCACGTCTCACCAACTGATAACCTCCCGTTCACCGGAGGAAACCAGTTCACTGGCTCAAGTAACCAACCCTGCTTAGTGGCTGATTTCAGGATATTCGTTGCCAGAGTGGATGGACAGCCAAAGTCCCGAACATCAGAGCTTTTTCACACACACAAGATACGTTTCCATAGACATCTCCAAAATTATGTGCTTTTCTTGCTTTTTTTGCATAAAGGCAGGTGTTGTGCAATGTTTTTGGCAGAAAGAAGAGTATTTTGACTGTATATAGCTCTCAAAAATCACGTCACAAGATGCAGTACAACCGAATGGGATATCATGTGTCTTTGGTATAGCATTTACAGATCATTACCTCTATTAATGAATAGTTGCGTGGAGCATGATAGCGACATCTATAAAAATCAGTCCCCAGGTAAATTTGTCTAAGACAATAAAAGTAAAATGTGTCAACAACACAATGTAAAAATGTTTAGGGCATAAACATTACCTTGATACAAGTGAAGGAAAACATTCATTAGCATAAACATTTTGAATTATGGAGGAAAAGTTAGTGGCTTGAGAATCACTGCCAAGTCACTATCAACAAAATAAACTTCCTAATTCATTCTCTTTTGTCTAATGAGTGCATTTAAAGTCTGTGCCATTTAATCTGTCGCTATCCTTCTGGTTTACATGCGGCCCAGAGGCCGTACTGTTATGATCGGAGTTTATTCTGCTGTTGCAGTCTCTTTCCACTTGAGGGCGATGTTTGCCCACGCAATGTGGGCTCTGTTGTTCAAGGTGTACAGAGATAATGAATACACCAAGAGGTGTCACTCCTACCTACTTCTGTTTTGGCTTTACTAAACTACTTTCATGACCAGAGACTAGAGTAATTGCACTCCAGTATTAACATTTACATTAAGTATGAACAGAAAAGTACCCTTGTTATTGTAGCATGTTATGGATGTACAGAATGCTTTATTAGATTATTACAGGTGCACGAATATGTAAACATTTCAATGGTTTAGTTGGCCAACGAGCTGATTCTAGCTCTTTTGTATCATGTGGGAGGTTTAATTTACTGTATAGCAATAAAAAAAAAACTGCATGTATGCAGCGAAGCTAAAATGTGTCAACACTAGTTAATTGGGTCCAGCTTCTTCAGTTCTCGCGTGAACCTTAACATATTGACAGCTGTAATCAAACACTTTTTTAAAAGCGCGGAACTATTGTTTAAATACAACAATATGATTTTAACCCCAACGTTATTTCATTAAGGCGGTATAATAACTTTTGGTTTATTTTATTATTTTCTCCCACCCTTCTCTCCACAGCTGTGCGGAAGTGACACAGCAGGCGCGCGCCCCGGTCACGTCACGCGAGAAAGCACAGAAGCCGAGCGAGGAAAAAAATATATATATATCAACAACAAGAACAACAGTTACCTGCCAACACACCACCGTGATAGTCCGCAGACATGTCGTTAACAGTCCTAAAGGACTGCATGGACTCGTAAAGGTGAGCTCAAACCGCCGGTCACGCGCCTTTACCGTTAATTTAACAAGAGTCAGAGCAGGAGGAGGATTTGGGTGGAGGGGGGGGGGGTGACTCGTCCACGCAAACATTGCCGCGTCATTAAAATTCACATCTAAAATGTTGCGTTGCTGAGTCAACGCGTGCATTCATGTTCTCAATGAATTGTCGTTCAAATGACAAGTTTGTGATGGAGTTGCGTCCCCACAGCGGACATGCCCTGTGTTTTGGTTCAAGGGTTCAGGGGCGGAAGAATGAGGAAGTAGCTGCTTAATAACGGCCGGAGGAGAGCTGGGAGGCAACTCGGTGTGCGGCGGCATGCGCACAGTAGAGTCTCTGGCAGTAATGTACCAAGTCTGTCTCCCTCTGTTAAAGAAAACGAGTTGGCATCGTCTGTGTCACGTGCTCGACAGCAGACCCGTTTACCTGTTTGGCTGCAGCTGGTCACACATGCTGTCCTCTCGTGACAGTCGCAGACCAGCTCCCACATGGTTATAGCGTAACTATAATGAGTGGTTTGGAATCTATAACTGTGTTTACAAACCTTTTTCATCAAGGTGGTATGATCCCAACTTCTTCTTGCTTGGTGGACTGAAGTCCGGTTCTGGAAATGTCTGTCGCCTCGGGCTGCAATTATTATATTCAATATCAGTTCATGCACCAGCTCTTTTCTCAATGAAGCATTTGGTGAATTAAATGTAAGCAAATAGAGGAAAATCATAAGATCGCAGAGGCCATTGTGATGTCTTCAAATGTCTTGTTTTGTCACACCAACAGTCGACATCCTGAAGGTTATTAAGCGTTAAAGACTAAGAAAAACAGAAGATATGAATTCACTTCAGTTTGAAGAAATACTTAAGAAATAAATTGATCATATTCTAAGTTGTCAGTTTCTTTTCTGTCAAAGGACTAATCAGTAAATCTAGTAATTGTTTCGGCTCAAGTGTAACATGTATGTTGACGTGCTAATGATGAATATTAGACATTTTTTTGTGACTTCATACGTTTGTGATTCACTCTTCTAGGCTATGAATTCCTGTGAGTATGGAGAAGTTTCAGAAGAAGCGATGCTTGCGAAAGGTAAGTACTGCTATCTGTGTACCCACAACAGTAGAAATTCCCACTAACTTGCTTCTTAATTACAAAAAATGTTGGAGTATGGCAAAGCTAGACCCATTTCTTCCAATAATCACTGTTTGTCACCAAGCTTAAAAAAACAACAGTAAAAATTCAGACACCAGTATTTACAGATAATGTACAGTATGTGGGTCAACTGCATCGGGGTGGAAAAGAAACCAAAGGTCTGATGCTATTCTCAAGAGATATTACGTTTGTTTTTGAAATATCATCACTAATAACTTTCCAGTGTATTTATAAATGAGAACCAGACAACAAGTGCTTTAAAGAGCAAAACGTGAATCTCATTATTTGCAGAACACAAGCATGTCCAGGACGTTAAGGAGGAATCGGAGGACTTCGCTATTGGCGAGCCACCTGAAGGACTCGGAGGAGGGCCTCCTGGAGCCACCGAGGCTGGTAAACGGCCATCTGCAGGGATGGGCCCTTACACAAACCAGTCCACCAGCAGCAAGAGAGCCAGACTCTCTGGCGAGGTGAGCTGACCTCAGAGTACACAACACGGACAACGTGCATGTCTCACTTGTTATATAGCTCAAGGTGTCTCTTACGGCGTATGTGTTCTGAATGTTATCTGCTCTGTCTAGATGAGGCGGCAGTTGCTGGATGAGAGCGGCAGACATGAGCCTCTTTGCCTCGCCACAACTGGAGAGAGGAGGAATTATGTCCAGCAGAAACCCAGAGTCTCCTACAGAAAGCCTCTCTTCAGCATCTCCCACAGGATCTCGGAGAAGAGGAACACGCCGAGTCTGGAGCAGCAGGCCGGTCACGGCGCCGCAAATCCGCTCAACTACGCCAGCATCCTCTCGTCCAAGCTCCAGGGTTCAGAGGGAAATGGCCCGTTGGAGACCCTCCCCGCCATAGACGCTTTAGGCCAAGCGTCGTCAACGGACACTAGCCTTTATCCGCTGATTGAGAAAATGTTTCTCATCCTCAACACCCTCAATTCAAGCATGACACAACTGCACAGCAAAGTGGACTTGTTAACCCTTGAAGTCATGCGGATAAAGAAGCAGATCAAGCCCGCCGAGATGGTGACGGAGTTCCAGCCTCCTCCTGAATATCTGTTAACAAGTGACGAATTGAATCAGCTGATGGAGCAGACATCCAGCGCTGGGGAGCTCGGGTGCCGGCTGCTGGTGCATCTCTTCCCGGAGCTGTTCAAGGCCAGGGAGTGCTCCCATGAATGCATGGCAAGCAAGAGAACACTGGAGTCTCTCCATCTGCAGCTGATCCGTAACTATGTTGAGGTGTGCCACCCCTTGGTCAAAAACAACAGCGTCTGGCAGGAAGAATGCCTCGTCCAGATCAATGACTTGTTCAATCGCTTCTGGGCACAGAGGGATATGGAGAGTGCTCGGCTGCTCAGGAAGCAGACGATCACAGGTGCCGCGATAAAGGCTGAGCATCCTCAAACCTACCATTTCATCAACGAGCAGGGCCAGGAGGAGCACGTCCCTTTAGATAACCAGCAAAGCAGCGGGGCTGCGTCAGACCTTGCGTTCAATACGCAAGCCACGGAGGAGCTGGACGAATTCTCCTCACCCGAGGACTTTGTTGTTTTTCTCATGCACCGTCTCTTTCCCGAGGTTTTCGAAGAAGGGAAAATGCCAGAAGGCTCCAGCCACTTCAGTAGCGTGGGGCAGCTAATTCTGGACTCCGACAAGATGGAAATAATAAGGAAGTATATGGAAGCAAATTTTCCCGATGTGCCTGAAGACAGCTGGCTTCAGGTGTGTATTCAGCACATGGAGGACGCTCTGGAGGGTCCTCACAGCAATGGCAATGGGAGTGACCCTGACAATATCAACGACGAGGGCTATGACCTGGCCAGCCTTCCCGAGGATGTTTCTATTATTAAGGTTCCAGAGGCGGGCGATTACGAAAGGCCCGGTCGCAAGGCCAAAAAGTCGCTGCTTCCGCCGGTGGATTTTGACGATCTCGAGGTTCCTCTTCCTGATTACACTGTTCCCCAGGAGTACCTCTTGTCCAGGGAGCAGCTGAAGAACAACTATGAATGTAGCCTGTCCATCGGGAACTTTGCCTCTCGGCTGCTGGTGCTCATGTTCCCCGAGCTCTTCACCCACGAGAACACACGGAAGCAGTACAACTGCAGCGGCTCTCTTGGTAAAAAGCAGCTCGACCCCGTTCGCGTGAACCTCATCCGTCACTACGTGCAGATGGTCTACTCTCGGGCCAAGAACGACCGAGTGTGGATGTTGGAATTTGTGGGCAAGCTCGACGAGAGGTGCAGGAGACGCGACACGGAGCAGAGGAGGTCCTATCTGCAGCAACGCAAAGTGTACGGTCAAGAGTCAGAGCAGGACTTTCTTTGCCACCTGAACCAGCTCAATCCAGATAGCATGAGGGAGGATCCGGATGCTCCCTCTTTACCTCCTGAGAAAAGTAGCAAAGACTTCTGTAAAATCCCCCTGGATGAGCTGACTGTATCCACGCCGGACTTCCCTGTACCTCCCATCTACCTGCTCTCAGACACTGAGGTACGGGAGATCGTCCAGCAGAGTCTCTCTGTTGGGAACTTTGCCGCCCGCTTGTTGGTGCGCCTCTTCCCTGAGCTCTTCACTCAGGAGAACCTGCGGCTGCAGTACAACCATTCGGGGGCCTGCAACAAGAAGCAGCTCGACCCTGTCCGCCTCAGACTGATCCGCCACTACGTGGAAGCGGTGTATCCTGTGGATAAGATGGAGGAGGTGTGGCACTATGAATGCGTGCCGAGCATCGACGAACGCTGCCGGCGCCCCAATCGCAAGAAGTGCGACATCCTTAAGAAGGCCAAGAGGTCAAGCACTGTGCCCTAGTTACAGTAGTATTTCAGTTAGGCAACACTTGGTTGAAATAAAAAAAAAGTATAATAATTGCACAGTATATAAGCTGAAACCGCTTTGTTGAACTTTTTCAAACTGTCCTATGTAGGATGAAGCCAAGCTGTTACGTTTCTTCAATACTATTGTTAGTCATCTTTTACCATGCGACAACAGCAGTAGATGTTGTAGTTTATGTAGTCTTATTATTGTTGGATAAAACTGCTTCTATTTATAAGCCCAAACGGTCATAGCTCATCTAACAAACTTTGTTGATAAATGTTGTAGCCTTAAAAACGATAACGATGATAGTAGCTAATAGCGTCGGCCACATATTGGCCCTATGGATAGAAATGAGTCACGACGACGTGATATGATTCCTTTGCCGTTACTGATGTAGCATTGTGCCACCACTGTTTTAATAACAATGTGCTTATGTTAAGCCTTCTTATAGAAGTTTATATTATACAGACAATTTAACATGACAGTGGATCATGATAACCTATTTCTAATAAAACCACAATTATAAATATGACATATGGTTGGACTGTTTTACGTACTGGCACTAACCTGAACTTGTTGGATACTGACTGCAGCTTTACACCCAGAGGATTTAGAGGTGACCCTAATCTTAACCCTGAACCCTCCCCAACAAGCTCTGTACAACGCAACATCCACAATGCTTCTACTCGTGCTTGCCATTTTACATTTTAGCCTCGATAAACATATGAAATGTGGATTCACGGAAAAGATAATGGCAGTAGCTGAACGTACTACATAACTAATGATTCTGATGAAAACTCATGAACTTGCAAGAAAATATCAAAGTGCACCTTTATTGGAGGAGTCACACAGTATAGTGGGGAAAGGTAAACACTCAATCTTTCTCCCAACCAACTGTGTAATGTCTACAACCACTGAGAACTGTTAACCTTTACAAACTTTTACAATCCATTAAGGGTCCAAATTTTTGGAGCCCTTTCGAACGCCACTCATTTGGTCGCATTAATTTCTGCGGCTGCCGTCGCCTTCACTGGTATCCCAGTCAACACTGTCCTATTCCAAATTCATGTCTTAATGGCCTCATCTTTGGTAAGCTCTATACTTTTCCAGCGCCTTATGGCAACCTTATACTTTTCTGCGTTACTGGATTCGCCTAAAACCCTCCGAAGGATGACTCTCATCAGAGTGACGGTGTTTGTTTCCCGGTTCTCCGACAGCACCAGGTCCAAGGTGTCCCCGACTTTCACCTGAATACAGAACGGAATAGAAGTAATGGGAAAAGGAGGTACAAAACACACGTGGATAGAGTGAGAATTTGTGGCGGGAATGTGTAATCCAACACGACTCACAGTTTTACTTTTCTTGATGAGTTTCTGTCCGTTTAGCCTGAGCTTGTTGTTGTAGAAGGAGTCCTCAATTTTACTGTTATGAGACGAGAGGAAAGGGGTTTAAAGGCCCTGCTGACTGAAACACCACTGGTAGCACTGGTAACTAAAACCATAAAAAACTAATATGTTGTATAATTACTGCCTGATATGTTTGTTTGGAAAAACTCTTTACATTAAGACCGCTATAAAGAAAGAAAGAAAAGGCATTCAAAGCTGTAAAGGCAGCTGATGGGCAGTGACTCACTTGCGTGCCATGTCCAGGCCAGCTTTCATTATGACATCATAGCGAAAGGACTGCACATATTTCTCCATGTCTTTATAGTCCTTTGGTAGGTTTGGGTTCTCAACCACCTCATCTTCATAATCACTGTCCTCGGGGTCTTTTTTATCCTCGTCCTCCTCCTCCTCCTGTGCTGTCCTCGCAGCTTCTCCTTTCTTCTTGTTGCTTTTAAACCTCAGATGGTGGACGGACCAACCTCTGGCGGTGTCTCTGCCACGAAGAGCGGGCCGGTGACAGCCGAGCGCGGGGAGTGCAGAGCAGCCCCACAGCTGGCGTGTGTGGATGGTCCTGGGACACCATTCAGTCTGCCTCAGCCCATATCCAGCAGCCAGCAGGTGGCGGGGGTTCAACCGTCCCAGCTGCCTCATGGCAAGTGCCTGCACCACCAAACTCTGCATGTTGGCACTCCACCCAGTCACTAGAAAAAAACATGAACGATCAGGAAGCATTGTGCTGAATTACTGATCTAGTTGTGACAAATTGTAAGTATAAAAGTCATTATGTAAACATTATTATGGTATAAACAACATCCATTAACTAAAATAAAAAATATGCATCCAGCGTCAAGACTTCAAAATAACCTACTACGCTATTGCTATCAGGAGTCAATTAACTCACCTCTTAAAACCATTTAACGGCCGTTATCAGGTCAAGAACAAACTGATCGAGACTAATATTTTAGATATACTTTTCTATAACTATTCATAGTAACAATCGTGTTATTCAATTAGATACGTCGTTTCTTGTTGGATTGCTAAAGCACCTTTGTAAAGAGTCAGGTAAGTAGGTAAGGAAATGTACCTTCAAAATAAAAGCCTTATATTATTTCTAGCCTCAGTGTGCGATGCTCATATGATAATAGATTTTAAATTCAAGACTGTTCTAAGACTCTTCTGTAAAACAACAATAGCAGGCAGGATACAACATTTGAGCTCAACTGTGGATTTTAAATTGCGTTTGTTTATTTTCCCGGAAGTGGTGTGTTTTTTTTTTGCCTAAAACGTTACTTGACACGAGCCGACAACAAACATTTATAGAAGAGAGTCATTTTCCAGTTCAGGCTTATTGTATTTTGTCCTTCAACATTAGTCGCTGTCTGTGTGCCGTTACTTATAGGATGTCTGTGCTCGATTACGCTTGACATGTTTCAGGCTTCAGCCGAAGCAGACAGGGCTAGCTAGCTTAAACGTTACTTTTCTTCATTAAGCTCGTGGACTCTTATTTCATGTCACGTGCAACATACCACGGGCTTGCAAGGCAATAAACGGCATTGCCTGTTTTAATTTGTTGCCAAATGCTAAATATGAAGTTGCTAACACTCAATAAGTACTTGGTAGTCCACTCACCTATGGAGTAACCTTTCATAGCAGTTCGTCGGCACTTCTGACTGGGTTACTTGCTTACCAGCCATTAATATGTGCTGCCACCTACCGCACTGGAGGTTAACGACATTACGTGGCCGAGCTGTTTATGAGGAACCAAACCACATTGGGATTGTTCATGTTTTTATGCAAAACACCCAAAAAGCACCCGGATATTCTTTTTTTATTTGTAGCATGAAACTACTAATTTTATGTCCACAACAAAGGACAGAACAATCCCCCATCTATGTCAGTCTCAGCCTTTTGTCTACTTCTTTACACTACCGTGTTGCTGTGATATAGACTAGAAATAATCATCCATGAGATCAAAGTTCACAAGTGAGTATAAGCCACACAATGTGACTGTATGCTGTCAACTTTTCTCGTCATTTATTTCATTGGTATAAATAGTTTCATACCAATGAAAGACCATAACTCATCATCAAAGTGAAAGGGCAATCTCACTTTTTGTTGGAGGAGTTTAGGAGGATTTTAACCAATATTTTCTGATATTTGTTTTCCATGTTGTTTTTATTATTAAAAAGTAAGGGTGCAACTCACCAAAAAGCAAAACCATCATGAAAATAAAGTGTAGTATAAATGTACTGTATACAAGCTCTAACTATAAAAGGTAAACATGCTGTGCCTTGCATTATCATACACCTTCATGCTTTTATAGGCCATGTCCGCAGCACACATTTTGACTTGTCATAATAGTTAAAGCATTGGTGTTACTAATAACATTACCACAATGGCTCAGCTGTATTTAGGTGTCTCAGTAAGTCATGGCAGTGTGACAGTGAGCCAGCATGTACAATCCCATAACCCTGAAACCGAAGAATGGAATTCAGCATTCATTCATTTTATTATTTACACCTGTGGTTATCCTACTATGACATGTCAAAATATCTTCTGTGAAAACATGTTTGAGGATCCAAGCCAGCGACAATATTTTAAATATACATGGGTTTGCCCCAAACATTTATTGCAACTTTAATTTTTCCAGCATAAGATAAAATTGAATACATATTTCAAAAGGTAATCAAGTTATTTATACAGCCCATTTGATTATAATGACAACAAGAACATTTTTAACATTTTACAAGAAACCGTAAGTGGTCGTGTATTGTTTTACGTCTGAGCAGTTATGCATTTGTAAATATATCAGCATGAATACTTTAATACTTTAATGGAATTTACATAAACATTCAGCTTCACTACAATTCATAATGTCTAGTGTCACTTCAAGTGCATAATACTGGTGTCACCACATTATTGAAAACAATGTAAGAACAAGATGTAATTCTCGAGGATGCATACAATATGTTTCCGTTAAAAAAGTCAGTATCATAAAGTTGACTTGATGTCTGTGTAAACATGAGTGCATTTACATCCTTGCATATCTGCCTGTAAGCTCTAATCACAAGAGTCAGTGAGCCCAGATAAATCAAATGTCTTTAGGAAACATGGTGACATGTTGGTGTGTGCTGTGCTCTTTCACTGACTGTATCTCATTCAACATACACTGGACAGTGAAATCACCCTTTTACATATAAAAATTGTGATTAGTCCTTTACTATGCTACAGACACATAATGGAGATATACTACAGTGTATCATATATGCTGGTGGTTTACATTCAGGTATCTTTTATGGTTATCAACAAATTGTCTGAGCACAAGGAAATCATGCAAATTTGAGCATGGATTTATGATCTTTAGGCAGTTAAATCCGCACTCTGGTTTGTTGTTTTGAAAGATGATAATGTTAGTGACTGATGTGTATGAAAGCCCATTTCCGCCACTGTGGAAAAAAAAGATTCTGTAAATCATAAAAATTAGAGACTATCTCAAAATACTGAGTTCGTATCCCAAAATAATGACTTAGTATCTCAGAATAATAAATAAGTATTTATTTATTTTGCGATAAGTCCATATTTTGGGATACTTATTAATTATTTTGAGATACTGAGTTCATATTTTGAGATACTAAGTCATTATTTTAAAATATTTTGTCCATATTTTGAGATACTAAGTCATTATTGTGAGATAGCTTCTCACTATAATGACCTACAGGATCTTTTTATTTCATCACAGTGTCAGAGAAGGGCTTCTATAGATGTGACATCCACATGTTCAAATGTATTGCAGATTCAATGTAAACATGTCCTTGTCTTTTCTGACCAGAAGATTAATGTCATTATACAGTGGGTACGGAAAGTATTCAGACCCCTTTAAATTTTTCACTCTGTTTCATTGCAGCCATTTGCTAAAATCAAAAAAGTTAATTTTATTTCTCATTAATGTACACTCAGCACCCCATCT